TAGCTCAGTGTGAAGGCCCTGGGGTTAATCCCAAAAAAGTTTTCACCAAAAACAAGTTTTTAATATAAATATACACATATATACATATACGTACACAACTGTGCATTTTTTTCATGAAAGTGTCAAACATTTTTTTCATTTTGCTACACATTCTTGTTTCATAAAAGCCTCCTGATACTTAGATTATCTCACAAGGCCCTAGCTTCACTGGCTTCCATTCTGATATCAATCGATAGATGGATCTACCTACTTACCTCCACCCCCCCGTTATGATCTTGAGACTAGTTAAGTCCTTTTGTATACCTTGTCCTTTGACTTTCATTCTTCATGCAAGTTCACACTGTTAGCTTGGATTTATCCTTCATTGTTTGCTTATTAACCTGTTTCCCCAGCTCTACAATATGAACATAACAAGGACAGAATTCAGCTCATTATTGTATCCCCGGCACTTAACCAGTATTTCTGCAGTAGAATCAATAAGCATAAAACTCAGGTTAGGGAATGTGAGGAAGCTTTTAGGTTAAAAATTAAAGTTTTAAGATTCTACCTTTTTCTTTTCAGGCCAACATATGCTACTCCAAAAGTTCTAGAAAAGGCAGGATTAACCATGAGTGATATTGATGTTTTTGAATTTCATGAAGCCTTCTCAGTAAGTCATTTGGGAGACACGTCTGAAGGGACTGTAGTCATTAAGGAAGGGTGCAGTCCATGGTTATGGGAGAGAGCAAGGCTTAGTTTATATTACTAGTTAAACAGTTAAGTGCGCCTCTGTGTTTCGGTCCTGACTTACATTGCAGGGAGGGATTCAAGGGGAGAGAATTGAGGGCCACACCTATGGGCTTGAAAATACCTGAGGTTCCTAGAGGCCCTTGGAGGTACATTTTCACTAAGAACTGACTTAAAGATTCTCCTAACTTGGAAGTTACAGAAACCCACACTGAAAGTTTAGAGGAACATTAATAACAAGGTCTTAATGAATTATTTTCCCTCCTAGGGTCAGATTTTGGCTAATTTTAAAGCCATGGATTCTGATTGGTTTGCACAAAACTACATGGGCCGGAAAACCAAGGTAAGTTTCTGATTAAAAAATATGTTTGTCCATGGCACATTGATATTTGGATCTTAGTCGCCATCTAAGAAGAATATGAAGAGGAAAGCTTCCTCTTATGAAGAATTATATATTTTATTCAGGGTACTATATTTGTGTCTTTATTTAAAAATATTTCCTGGAAAACCTTCAGCAAAAATAGAATTATATGTTACCTTTTGTTTTCATTCAGACATTAAATGAAAAATAAATAAATCCACCCGTCTTTTATTACTGACCTGGACTTACTTTGTTTTGCAGTAAAATTATTTGTGATGTCTAACATTAATTGTTTCCCTCTGCATCTGTTCCTTCCTGTTACTAAGAGCCTGGCTTGAGTTCTGTCTTTATGGAAACTTGCCTTTACATTGTATCTTTATTTTTGTGGAGCCAGGTTGGATCTCTTCCTCTGGAGAAGTTTAATACCTGGGGCGGATCGCTGTCCCTGGGGCACCCATTTGGAGCCACCGGCTGCCGCTTGGTCATGGCAGCTGCCAACAGGTTGCGGAAGGAAGGAGGCCAGTACGGCTTAGTGGCCGCCTGCGCGGCTGGAGGGCAGGTACGTGTGGAGCAGCCTCCCGGGGCTTCCAGAAAATCATATTCTCAGAAACAAGCTCATTCCAAAAATGTTTGATTTAATTTAGTTTGAAACATTCCAAAAGCAGTATTTTGAGGACAGGCAAGCAGGAAAAAAAAGCAGAATTTTTTTGGTGAGGGCGAGAGGAAGGAGGAGAAACAACTCTAATTCTGATAATACTTCAAAAGGAGGATGCTATTTAAATCCAAGCTATTCTTTCCTCTTTTTAATGTAAAATTAATATGTGTTTATTATAGAAAATATAAAGAATATGTAGAAAGCAATTAGAATCGCAAATCCCCTTACCAGGTGCCATCGTGTTAAGCATCTTGATATATTTTCTTCCTAAGTGGTAAACCTAATTCACTTATCTAATCAGCATGAAATCTTATCTATAAAATCTCTCCAAAAGGTAAACTGTCTTTCTAGAGAACTGAATTATACCTTAGGGAACTAATTTATCTTTAGCTAACTTTTTGCTGTTCAGCTAAGGAAATTATTGTTCCAACAAGTTTTTTTCTGTCTACCTTGCTCACATTTAGACCTAACTTCCTGCCTGCTGTAGCATGTCACTCTGGGGATAAAATCCAAAAGGAAGACTGACACTAGTTGTTTTTTTTTTTAAATCCTGATGTGAACAGATTTTGTTTTCATCTAAATTAAAGAAACTTCCCATTACTGATCAAGATGAATAAATAAGATACTTAAAAGTATAAACATTTACAATTTAAAGTCTTCATATATGGTTCTTCCTCAGAGACTTGGGAAATAAAGTGCCAGTGATTTATAAGTTAGAACATTTCGGACTCCATAATCAGAAACGTTTCTAGTCCGTGTGAAGTCATTTACAGAAACCAGGGTCAGGTAGGACCTGAGCCCCCTCTCCTCTTCGGGTGCCAGGCTCCCACCAAGGGGCAGCTCCCACACAGCACTGTGCCGGGGTGTGGCCCACAGGGAGCGCTGTCCTTTGCATTCAGCATCTGTTCCCTGAATCTTTATGTCACGGACGGCGTAAACTATATTACATGCTTTCGTGGATGAACAACAGCAGTGCTCAGTGGCTCCCTCCTGCAAGTTCGTAGTATCCATGAGGAGTACGGAGATAAATATGACTCCGAGAGCCAAACAACTGACACCAACTCAATTAGGAGGTTGAAGAAGAATTCATCACGGTGGGGCCAGCAGGATTTCTCAGCGCTGGCACTGCTAACATTTTAGGCCAGTTAATTCTTTGTAGTAGGGGGCTGTGCTGTGTGCTGGAGGAGGGTGAGGTGGCCTCTGCCTACAGGTTCCAGTAGCGATACGCTCCTCCTCACTCTTGCCCTGTCCACCCATCCTGTCCACCTGCACACATGGTGGGAACAGCCAGAGGCATCTGCAGATACAGCCAGTGTTCTCGAGAGAGCAAGGGCCGAAACCTCCCCGAGAGGAGGATGGCTGGCATGTTGGGGCGCGGAAACTACATCTTAAACAGAGCTGGAAAAGGAGTGTTCTGCCTTAGTGTGGGCCCCTTCCAAGACAGCTCCAAGTCAGTCGGGTCTTCCTCTCCCCGATCTTTGTTGTTTGTTTGCTTACGTGTTGTCAAAAGACTTTGTGTTGAGCTACCGTGTACACTAGATGGAGCATGTAGCAAATCTCTAACCTCATGGCATTCAACTTGTTGTCTTATAAATAATTGTTTCTTAATAAATTGTTTGTTTTGGTACAGGGGATCGAACTTAGGACCTTGCGCTTATGAGGCAGGCACGGTGCCACTGAGCTGAATCCCTGGCCCCTAATAAATAGTTTTGAGGATATTGAGTTGAACCTAGAAGCCAGGAGATTCGATAGGCCATTGATTGGTTTGATGACAGACCAGAGGTTAGGATGCCGTGGCAGTCAGCTAGGGTTTAGACTCCTGAAATCGGAAATGTCTCTGCTGGGTTTAAAGAAGGACTGTAACAGTGCATGGCATGTGCACAACGACGAAAAAGGAACATTCTTGCTGCTTCTCTTTGTGGCCCCTCGGGTCATCTCCTCGAGCTGTGTGAAAATGAAGAAGGGAACAGCTTTGGAATCACCTGGATCTGGTTTCAAATCCTGGCCTTGTGATTTTGTCATAGCTTTGTGATTTTTGGATGAGTCACTTAACCTCCCAAAGCCTCAGGGTATCACTTAGAGATGTACTTTGGTCGGCGTTCACTATGTCGTGTTTATCTTTGTACGGTGGAAAAGGCCCGTGGTTCTTCATTTTAATAGCAGCCTTTGGTCTAGGGTATAGCATGGTGGTAGGCACTTGCCTGGAATGTACAAGGACCTGGGTTTCATTCCTAGTGCTGTGAGAACATGCACAGCCACAGCAATGATTTTTAGCATTTCTACTAAGAGTGAGACTCTGCTAGAAAGTCAGGTGCATATGCGTATCTGTGTGTGTGTAGATCTCTGTATAAATTGTGTGTGTGTGCGTGTACGTTGTATGCTCTGTAATGCTCATAAAAACCTTCTAAAGGAGGCCCCAATAGCCCATGTAGAGGAAATTGAGATTCAGAATGGCTGCTAACTGTCCCACGATCACATAGTGCTTGAATGGCAGAGCCAAGATCAAACTGCAGAGCCTGTACTGTAGCACCGTTCTCCACACTAGCTGAATTCATCACCTTTCACCGCTCTAACGGAGCTTTTTCCCTTACAGGGCCATGGTATGATAGTGGAAACTTACCCCAAGTGAGCGACGGAGGAGGTGACCATGCTTCTGTGGAGCACTCGCACTGGGCAATGCCATTTCAATGCATCGCTGAACGGCCCCTATAGTCCTAGCTCCTTTTAAGAAAACATGCGTGGCCTTCTGTTAAATACTTTGCAATTAAGCCCTGCCAGTGTTCTCAGCTTTCCAGTAATCACAGCTTCCTGTTCTTCCAGGCATTTCTAAGTTTCTAGAATATCATCCAGATATATATTTAAGCAGTTCTTTTGATCTCTGTTGTCACTGAAGACTGAATGGTTGCAGTATAGGAAAGGTTAACTGAGCTCTGAAGTCATCTTCGTAATGTTTGCGAATTACATTTGTTCTTATGTGTCTTAAAAATACACATTTTCTCTAAAATACAAACCAATGTGCCTAAACTAACAATGGAAAAATAAGTCAATCTAAATATCATTAAAAACTTAAATACTTAGATGCACAAATACCTCGGTCAACCTTAATAAAGTAGAGAAATACTGGAGAACCGTTTGCCTTATTTTTTAAGGAGGAGAAGGGGTGAAGGGGCGGAGTTTACCTTTCACTGTGTGTGTGTAACTTCCAGCGATTTCATTCAACCACGGGCTCCTGGGAACATAAGGAGGACCCTGCTTCAGTGTACCCCGCATTGCTGTGATTGAAGCACATTAATTTCATTGTTTGGAGTCGCTGCTGTTTGCTAGGATTTAAATGAAGTATAAAATAAGTTTTTTTCTTTGGATCAACTGCCGTGAACCCTCTCGGATTTTGACAACCACAGTGTCCTAAATAACATGTATGCTAGTCCTTTAATGAAGCAAAATGGCCAATTGTGGCTATTTGTGTGAACATATTTATTTGAGGCTGGGCACAATGATGCCTGCCTATAATCCCAGTTACCTTGGAGGCTGAAGCAGGATGATTACAAACTGAATGCCACCTAGACAATTTAGTGAGACCCTGTCTCAAAAAAAAAAGGGGCCGGGGATTTAGCTCAGTAGTTCCGCTGCCTGCCTCTCATGCCCAAGGATCTGAGATTGATCCCTGGTACAAAAAAAAAAAAAGCTAGGTGTGGTGGCACATGCCCGTTATCCCAGCACTCAGGAGGCTGGAGGCCAGCCTGGGCTACATAGTAAGTCTGTGTCTCAAAAAACAGAGAACAAAAACGGGTTGGGAGAGCTCAGCAGTAGGGGATTTGCCTAGAACACACAAGGCCTTGTGTTCAGTCCCTAACACCAAATAAAACCCAAACAAACAAAAAAGAGTATTTGTGAGTTCCAGGATCACTGGCTCCTGAATTCCTTGGTAATTTAAACACAATGTGAGTTTTTAATACTGAAAACCGTTATATTTACTTATCACAAAAATAAATTTTGGATTGATACATGTAAAATGAAAACAAAAAAATTTATGACAAAATGCTCCTATGTCCTTAGGTTAAGAAGAAGAGAATTAAAGAAAACATTTGTTTGAAATACTTTTAAGGGTTGGGGATTTAGCTCAGTGGTTCTACCGCCTGCTTCGCAAGCTCAAGGACCTAAGTTTGATCCCCATACAAAAAAAAAAAAAAAAAAAAAAGAAAAAAAAAAAAAAAAAAAGAAAAAAAAAAAAAAAAAAAGAAAAAAAAAAAAAAAAAAAGAAAAAAAAAAAAAAAAAAAGAAAAAAAAAAAAAAAAAAAGAAAAAAAAAAAAAAAAAAAGAAAAAAAAAAAAAAAAAAAGAAAAAAAAAAAAAAAAAAAGAAAAAAAAAAAAAAAAAAAGAAAAAAAAAAAAAAAAAAAGAAAAAAAAAAAAAAAAAAAGAAAAAAAAAAAAAAAAAAAGAAAAAAAAAAAAAAAAAAAGAAAAAAAAAAAAAAAAAAAGAAAAAAAAAAAAAAAAAAAGAAAAAAAAAAAAAAAAAAAGAAAAAAAAAAAAAAAAAAAGAAAAAAAAAAAAAAAAAAAGAAAAAAAAAAAAAAAAAAAGAAAAAAAAAAAAAAAAAAAGAAAAAAAAAAAAAAAAAAAGAAAAAAAAAAAAAAAAAAAGAAAAAAAAAAAAAAAAAAAGAAAAAAAAAAAAAAAAAAAGAAAAAAAAAAAAAAAAAAAGAAAAAAAAAAAAAAAAAAAGAAAAAAAAAAAAAAAAAAAGAAAAAAAAAAAAAAAAAAAGAAAAAAAAAAAAAAAAAAAGAAAAAAAAAAAAAAAAAAAGAAAAAAAAAAAAAAAAAAAAAAAAAGTGCTAACCATAGAAGGAAAAGTTTATAAATTTACCCATGTTAACATAAGAACTTTTATTCTTCATATGATACAAAGTCATAGAGAAGCAAGCAATAGTGGACAAGCAATTGTAACAAGCAATTGTTACAGTGGATACAGTTTACAAAGGATCCAAAGTATATGATGAATTCCTGCAGAGCAAGAATAATGACAATGCAGTAGGAAAAAAATGAGAAGATACTGACATGTTTTAGAAAGCAATAAGTAAGTGGTAAACATTCACTAAGATGTTCAATAGTAATCAGAAGAAAATTAAGATTAAAATGAGATTTTATGCCTACAAGACCTGCAAAAATTAAGACAGAATTCCAAATATTGGTGAGACTGTGGAACAATACGAACTTAGACAAAAATGATGAGAATATAAATTCAGAAAACAGCCCGACATCATCTCCTACATTTAAATGACACAAGGTCTGTGGCCCAGCATTTTCTTTTTCTTTTTTTTTCTGGTACGGGGGATCGAACTCAGGTCCATGCACTTGCGAGGCGGGTGGCAGAACCACTGGGTTAAATCCCCGGCCCACCAGCGTTTTCACTCTTTGGAATATTCCCTAATGAAACTTGCTCGTGAGCACAGAAACAGTTGTTCATGGCAGCATTACTCTTTAATAGCAAAATATTGTAAATAACTCATGTAGACTGAAAGCTTTTAAAAATAAGCAAAACTAATTTCTAGGGTGACTACAGATGAGTTTAAAAGTTTCTACAACAAGGAAGGAAAAAGACGAATCTGCCTTCCAGAATTCCATTTCCTTTTTTGGTACCAGGGATTGAACTTGGGTCCTTGTACTTGCAAGGCAGGTAGTGGCACCATTGAACCAAATCCCCAGTCCCGTCTTCCAGAATTCCAGATGATACCTGTGGATACTTCCTGCTGCAGGAGGTGAGGTAGGCCCCTCCCCATGCCTGGGGCTAGACTCAGTGACTCCAGAGAACAAAGCAGGAAAAGACAGCCTTACAGTGGGCAAACAGCCAGCATCAGTTCAGATGAGAGGTCATGGCTAACAGTGCAGCCACAGGCCTTCTGGGAACGCATGGTCAAAGGGGTGCCTTAGCTCTGTGGTGTTCTTTAAAAATACCAGTGAGGTAGTTCACTCATGGGAAAGATCAGGCGAATGCAAATCAAGGGACAGTCTGCAAGGTATGTGGTCAACATTAAAAACTATCAAGGTCATGAAAATATTGAGAAATTGTCAGAGACGAGAGGAGCTGTGATGATTCTGAAATGGAAAAGGGACATTAATGGTCAATTGGGTGAAATCTGAATAAAGTCTGGAGTTGAGTTGGTACCTTTTTTTTTTAAGCTGGGGGTTGAGGATACTGCTCAGTGGTACAATGCTTACCAAGTATGCACGAGGTCTGGGTCTGATCCCTAGCCCGACATCCCCCAAAAAAGAAACCCCAAACAGCAATAGAACATCATAGAAGGAAAGCCACACACATGCACATACATATGTGGTCAGATGATTTTTGACTTGGGTACCAAGACAATTCAGTGAGGAAAAGACAGACTCTCCACTTGTCAATAGATGGTGCTGGGAAAATGATCTCCATATGCAGAAGAATGAAGACGGATCTTGCATCATATACAGAAATTTAACTAAAAATGGATCAAAAACCCCCAAAAAGCTGAAACTGGAACTCTTAGCAGAAAATACATGGCATTGGCATTGGATTTAGCAATAATTTCTTGGACAGCACAGGCAACAAGAAACACTAGATTAATTGGACTTCATCAAAATGAAAAGCTGCATCAAAGGGCCTCATCAACTGAGTGAGAAAGTGGCCTGGGGAACAGAGGGAAAATATCTGCAAGTCATACAACCTAGAAGGGGTTAATATAATTTGTAAAGAATTCTTACAGCTCACAATCAGAGAACCCAATTAAAGAATGGGCAACTGAGGTGATAGTGAGCTTGTAATCTCAGCTACTTGGAAGGCTTAGGCAACAGTTAGAGCCCAGCCTAGGTAACTTAGCGAGACTCTGTCCCCAAATTTAAAAAGGGTCTGAGATGTAGCTCTGAGGTAGAGCACTTGCCTAGCATGCACAAGGCCCCAGAACCCCAGTACCCCCATCAGCGCACACCCAATTTATATAGTTCTCGAAAAATGGCCAATAAGCACACGGCCAGTAATGCTCAGCACCACTAATGACGAGGAAAATACGAATCAAACCCACAGTGGAGAATCACCTAACATCTCTTAGGACGGCTCCTATCAAAAGATAAAGTAACAAGGGTTGGTGAGGACATGGAGAAATTGGAGCACTTGTGTCCTCAGTGTGGGGACAGAAAATGGTGCAGCTGCCATAAAAAATAGCACAGCAGTTCCTCAAAAAAAAAAAAGTAAGCATAGCATCACCACATGAACCAGCAGTTCTACTTCTGGGTTTGTATTCCAGAGAATTGAAAGTAGAGTTTTGGAGCAATCTTTGTATTCCCACATTTGCAGCTGCATTGTTCAGAATAACCAAAAGGTAGAAGGCAACCCAAGAGTCCATGGGCAGATAAATGGACGAACTACATCGCCGTATACATAGAATAAAATACTCTGCAGCCGTAAAGGGTGATGATCTTGTATAAACCCCGAGGATGTTATGCTGAGCAAAATGAGCCTGTCACAAAGAGAACAAGAGCAATATGATTCCACTTAGGTAAGTCTGAAGTTTGTCAGGTTCCTAGGGACAGAAAGCACAGCCTTGGTTGCAGGGCACTAAGGGGGGATTGAGGAGTTGCCGTTTTTGTGGAGGGAAGGGGTAAGTATCCTGGGGACTCATTAAACCCCAATGTGAATGTAGTTTACTGAATGATACACTTTAAAATGTTTAAGATTGAGCCACGGTTTTAAAGCGATTTTTCTGAAAGGTAAGAGAAGACACGTTCAGGATAGTCGCCTCTGGGTGGGGGATGTTGGACCCGACCTCAGCTAGAGCACACAACCAGCTTCACGTTTCTGGTTCTGAAGTTTCATCATAGGTTCACTGAACTCGACGTGACGTATATGTTGGTTCACAGTAGCCTATACTCCGAGAGAAAGCTGAACGATTTTATTAGCCTGTCCTGAACATCATCATCCTGGGCTGATATGGCTTGACGTGGCCTCCATCAACATAGATCTTGATGTTCGTGCTTAGACATCTTCACCTGCTTACGTTGTTCTCACAGATTCCAACTTAAGTGTTTCTATTGTCTGTCTTGCCCACCTACCTCCCTACCCTCATACTGGGGGTTGAACCAGGCCCCTTCCCCGAGTCACATCCCTAGCCCCTTTTTATTTTGAGACAAGGTCTCTCTCAGTCACTGATTACCTAGGCTGAGCTCCAACTTGTGATCCTCCTGCCTCAGCCTTTTGGAGTGCTGGGATCACAGGTGTGCACAGCCATGCCTGGCTTGGGTCAAACTTCAGTTAGGTTCTGTGTTCTCCCAAATAACCATTGGGGAAAGGAGCCACTTACTGGCTCTGTCTTCTGTCATTTAAACTTCTATTTATTTATTTTTGTGGTACTGGGGATTGAACCCAGGATATTGTATGTGCCGGGCAGATGCTCCACCTCTGAGCCATACCTCCAGCCCTGTCATTTAAACTGTTCAAGGTTCGTCCCCAGCTCAGCTTTACTTGTGACAGTAGTTTATGTTCTCCCTTTGGTCCACATCATTCATTTATTCCAGTGTTGGTGCCGGCTGTGTATCAGGCGCTTATTCTAGATGCTGAGGCTACAGCAACCAACAAAACAGAAAAATTCCTGTCCTTCTTGCTTCCATGTTTTTGGAGAAGAGAATCCTGACTCTTGTCAGTCTACTGTTTCCTCCTAGCCTTTCTTAGTTTTGTTTACTTTCTCCTGGCTTTTCCAATTCCTGCAGGAATGAGAAAGACAGGGTTCTGGTCGAAGAGCTCCCCGGAACTGGTGTGTCTAGGACTCAACTGGTGTACTCTGGCTTTTTCAGTGAAGGGGAGGCATTTTCTGGCAGGATGCTGGAATGGGAGGACAGGAACGGTGAAAGGAAATACGTTCTTGTGAAGCAGGAAGCGTTTGGATATCTTGGCAGTGTCTGAGCTGTAGGGAACGCCACTATGGAGATCTTTCCCTTGCACCCTGAAAGGACTGTCCGTGACCCATCAGGAGCGATTCCCAAAGCAGAACCCTAAGTAGGGGCGTTTGGAGCTGCCTCAGGAACCCCTATTGTAATCTACCTGTCTATCCAGACCTAAGTTCCAGGAGGGATTTTGTTTTAGACTTTAATATGTACAATAAAAATATTAACTGTAGAAAGTTCAAACAAGGTAAGATTAAGAAGAAAATGAAAAATCAAGCAGCGATATCTCCTGCTGACATTTTGATACCTCCCCTGTTCAGTGCATGTGTGCATGGACCAAAATGCCTAGTAGAATGCTGCCTCAGCCCTCTTGTCGGCTTAGCTTGTAGCCTGAATGTTGATCCATAGCAATCTATGTAGCCAAGTCACCATTTTTAATGATCACCCAGCACTCCTGCACGTCGAGGCTGCTTGATTTATTTTACTAAGTGGACACAAACACATTGGAGCGCACAGCCTTTGTGTGCCCCCTCTCTTTTTCTATCTATCTCTATATCTCTCTTTTAGTTTTTTGAGACAGGGTCTCCCTGTGTAGTCCAGGCTGATCTTGAACTCACTATGTAGTGTAGACTGGCCTTGACCTCGTAATAATCCTCCTGCTTCAGCCTCCCGAGTGTTGGGACTACAGCTGCTTACCTCTAAACTACCTTAGAAATGGAATTGCTGCTTAATGTCAGTTTGTATCTCCTAGAGCCTTCTTTTATGGTCTCTGTGTGTGTGTAAATGCGTGTATGTATGTATTTTTATGATGCAAGCCAAATAAAGATGTAATCCTATTTTATCTGCCAGTTCTAAATAGGGGATTTTACCAGAACAGCAGCGCATTGAGTATGGTCTTGGGAAGGGAAAGGAGAACACATCTGTCTACAGAAGCCCACTCAGAAAAGGCGTCTGCTGCTTGTAATGGAAAGAGTGCATTATTTGAATCTGTAACCAAAACTAGTTTTGTAACTTTACAAGTGCAAAGTGTACTATTAAGGAGGTGACAATGCGGTGCTGTAGGGCAGGGCCTCCCTCGGGGCAGAGTGAGGGTACGGCCTCCAGGAAGCCTCAGTGTGGCTTTCCCTGTTTGTTATCTCCGATTTGGAAGCATACTTGAATCCATTTAGAGAACTATTTGGACTAGCTTGTCCACAATTAAAATAGATACTTCAATCACTGAGTAGAGAAACAGCGCTTGGAAGAAAAATATTTTCAGGCGCCTGTGATACTATATCCTTTTTTATTTCAACAGAAAATGTTCTTGTTCCATTTTATAAAAATTCCCATACATTATATAATTTAAAAACCTCGCCCATTGGAATTTTTTTCATTGATCTGGTCTAAATTTTTTCCCGAAGCCTCTTACTTTCTGCTTGTGAATTTTGTAAGCTAATTCCACTAGACATCCTGGTATCCTCTGAAAGTTTTTCTTGTATCTTGCTTGTCTGTATACCTCGACCTCACTTGGTCTTGTCACATTTAAATGTCAGTGCTTGTAATCTTCGCTGCGTAAGTCTTGCCAGTAAGTGGGACCTTTCTCTCTGCTTTAAACTCTTATAAAGAATTCTTTAAAGTGTATTCACATCAGTGTCTCTTTGCAAACATGCATATGTCCCTGAAACATATTTTATATTGATTTTTTTTAAGTTAAAGGAAGGACCAAGAAATTTCACCTTTCTCTAAACCTCGAATCAAATTCTGCCCTTCATCACTAGTGATTGGGAAGGTCAGAGGTTCCTGTCAATTGGTTGACCTTTCTTCATGATCATTAAAGAGGGATAACCAGAAAAGAGATCACTGAATAGCAAGAGCCACTGCCGTCCATGACCTCTGTAAAGTGGCCTGTTGGATCATTTTAAAACTAGTGGAGATCATTTTACTTGCACTTTTCTGGAACTTTGATATCTGGTGATGAGTTTGGCAGGAAAGGCAGGTTCATCCATGAGGTCACTGGGTGGGTTAGCGAGTTTTTCAAGCCTTTCTTGCTTGGATGCCTTAGGGCGGGGAGGACAGAGAGCTGCAAGAGAAACGGGTGTGACTCACAGAAAGAGCCTTTTCCAAGGTGAGCAGGGAGGGGTGCAGAGCCCCTGGGCCAGGGCCCATCATATGGATCCCAGCTCACACCCTCACTGTGGGTTCCTGTGTGGTTCACCCCTGGGGCCCTGCCACAACCCCCTGAATGAGCTCACTCTGAATCTTAGGGCTGGTGACACCCACCTTGCCCAACTCTGCAGGCTGCTCTGTCCTCTAGAAACCAAGCCCATAACAAGTCCTTTAAAACAAGGTTGGTTGGTTGGTTTTTGTGGGTAATTTGGAGTTCCGTAGTGTGAAAAGGGATTTTCAGGTAGAACAGAGCCCAGGTTGGTTATTGCTAGGCCTCCTGCATCGGAGGATCCTCTAGGCTCCTCTGTGGCCACCCTAGGAAAGCCTGCTTTCCACCCTTTGTGAAAAGGAGCTGCTGTGACGAACTTTTCCCGGAGATCTTTAACTGCACTTATCCTCATTCTGCAAGCCACGCTGCTCGCACTGCTCCTGAGAGAGCCGGTCCTCACCTGGCATTTTGGCTTCCTCCTTTACTCTGTTCTGAGATGTAGGTTTCATTTGTGTTCTAGGAAGAGATGGAAAGACCCAACTGCTAGTCCACCTCTCTGTGAAGAGACTGCATCCATTGTGACATTCTTGTCTGTCCCACCCAGGATGCAGTGATCCCCAGAACTTGCTCTCAGCTACATTGTTCTGTGCACCAGTTCTGCCTTCCCCGCTTCAGATCTTAACCCAGGGCAGATTTTTTACATATAGGAAAGCAGGGACAAGAGCATCATCAGAATCCAGGTCCAAGTCAGGAAGCTGGGAATCTGATTGCTCTGGTTCACCTGCTCCTGTCCCGGTCAGAGAGCTTGAACCTAAAAAGTATGCATTCTGAAGAACAAGCCCAGTCTGTGCCCATCTCTGGGGAAGGTTGTGGGTCCCCTCTGATCTTCTCGGGAGACGGCTGCAGCCTTGGAGCCCGCAACTCACCAGGGAGATGTCGGAGTTGGGGGGTTGGGTGTGGCAGAAGCGTTTGCGTAAGGCCTCTTGCACCTGGAGAGGAAAAGTAAATGCCCCAGTGGTGGCAGCCGGCTCACTGCCTTCTGGCTGTCAGCCAGGCAGGGGTTGGCCAGGCAGACTCACCTTCTTGTCTGTGAGGCAACCAAACAATAAGATGAAGACTCCCTGCAAAGAGGGAGCGGAGAAAAGTGGTGAAGGAGTGAACACCTATGGAATTAGCTGGCTCCCTGTCCTCTTCCTGCAGCCTCCATCCCCTGATCTAGTTTACATACTAAGGCATCCTATCTTGGTTTCTGAAATTAGCACCACTTGGTGCAGAGGACCCACTTTGGGGCTTTTCTTATTGTCATGGTTACAAAAGGGATACCCAAGGATGGGTGACAGTTTCCCTACTTGTCTAGCAAAGTCAGAGAGGTTATGTAATTTGTCTGAAGTTATCCAGCCAATAAGTGGAGGAACCAGGACCTATACCGAAGCCTGCTAAAATTCCTGAATTGGTTTCTTCTGCTGCACCATGCCGTCTCCTTGAGAAGCAACGGGCAGTGACTTAGACCATCGAAAAGGTCAATAAACACAGACCGCCCCCCACCCCAGCACACCTACCTGGGAGGAGTTGAGAATGACGAAGATGTAGTGAGGGACTGCGGAGGCCTCCTCCAACATAGTCACCAGGCCCAGCCCCCAGGTGATGCCAAAGATGGGTGTGAGGATGAACAGGGCCTTGAGCACCCCCAGAAGAGCCTGGCGCTTCTCCACCGAGGGCCCTTCTGACAGCGAAGGTCTCTGCAACTTCAGCACAGTCATGGCGAGTACCAGCCCGTTCACGCCCACGATGGCCAGCACCGGCCCCACGAAGGTATAGACTGCCCCTCCCTTCCCAGCCAGCCAGCACTGCCCTTCTCTCAGGTATTGCCCTCGAGGCAGGTAGAGGCCCAGAGCGGCACCGGCAAGCCCCAGGGGGCACAGGTAGCCCAGGATCACCATCAGGGCGAGAATGAGGTGCTTGGACAGCTGATGGAAGACAAAAAGCAGCTGGTGAGCCAACAGAAGGGCCTGCGCCAGCATCCAGAAAAAGGTGCACAGGTAGAAAAAATGACACAGGAAGGCAGTGACCAGGCAGAGGAGGTTGTGAGTCCTTGGAAGGAAGACTGAGCCTGCCAGGTACCACGTGTCGGCAGCCAGCAAGCAGATCGCCATGTTGAACAGGGCAGCGTGTCGGAAGAAGGCAACTTTGTTCCGTACCACGGCCCTCCACACCAGCCTGTACACGGTCAGGCACACAAGCAGTGCCAGTATGGAGGCGCCCAAGCCCACCTGAGTCAGGAGCTCCAGGACAGGGTCTTCTGGAACGGTATGGTGGGACATGAGGGTGGAGAAGGCAGTGAGGTGCTGGCAGATACACTGAGTGGCAGGGCCGTCATTGGCTGCCCGTGCCTGGCACCCTCGATCTGACCAGCCTCCCGCATGCTGGAAGAGGTTATGGTCCCAGAAGACGCAGTGCAGGGCACCATCTGTTTGCCCGAAGTCCATGATGACCTCTGCTCGGGTGATGGCTTTGCCACCTGCCATGATCGAGATGACGAGGACCAGGCCAGGGGTGGCATAGTGGGGGCCCCCCAGCCCTTGCCCGTAGTTGGAGGGCAGAAGGCGGTCCAGGTTTTGTAGCACCAGACTGGTAACACTGACAGTGGTTCCGTTACGGACCCATGGGGTCAGTGAATACCTGGGAATCCGGGCCCGCAGCGGCGGCTGAGTGGAGAAGGAGATTTGGTAGTCGGCAAGAGGGGGTTCCAGGAGCTGACTCTGCAGCCGCACACTGGAGGAGCTGAAGAAGAAGGGCTGGCCCTTTGGGGACAGGCTGCGTGCCAGGGTTTCCACAGCCAGCAGGAAGTCTGAGCCCATCGAGGGCTCCTGGGCCTGGGCCGGGGTCCACAGAGAGCTGATGTTCGTGTCTAGGACCTTGTCGGTGATTGTCAGGAGATCCTGTGGCACCCAAGGGAGAGGCGGGCCTGATCTCCTGGAGCCCACAGTGCCGAGCCAGAGGAGCAGGACCTTCAGACCCCAGCCCTACCCTTCCTATACTAGTGCAACACCCAGGCCTGGAGAGCAAAGGGGACAGAAGACAAGCCAGTGAAGGCGGCCTCCCCGGGGGAGACCAGGGCATCTTCAGGTCTGTGGTCTCTCGGTCACCCCGCCCCTCTGTCTGACAACCCCCGGGGGCTACCTGGGTCCTAATGGGAGGGAGGGCCCTTTCCAATCCCTCACTCCTCCCAGGTCTGAAAGCTAGGAATGGTGGCCAGCAGTAGGGGCACAGTGTTCTGGAGTCAAGGCCACACTCGTGTCTGCACGGCCACGCACACTGCTGTGCAGACACGAAGAGCGTGTGACATCGTCGCCCCTTGTTATTCGCCACTGCAGCCCCCACCGAGAGGGATTTAGGGGGGTCCCGCAAAGCCCGCGTGTCTGAGTGTCTCCTGATGGCAGATGGGAAATGGGCCCCACAGCCAGCAGTCTCCACCCCACTGCCCAGCTGGCATCTGCTGAGGCTCAGAACTCACCTCCAGGGCACTGGGCTTGAGCGTCGTTCTGTCTTCTGCCACCACCTCCGCCAGGACTTCCACAGTGCTCAGTAGCTTCAGTAAGTCGGAGGGAGAGCTTGCCGCCTCTACCCGCTCCTGCAGCCTTTCCAGGATCTGTGGCACCCTTTGGTCGGGCTTTCCCTGGCCGGCCTGCAGCAGCTGGGATGGGCGAGAGCAGGAAGGGGGGTGGCGGGAGAATCCTCGAGGGCAGGGGCCTCTCCCCCTCCCCCGCCTCCTCACACCTCCCGTGCTTCCTCCTTTTCAGCTCCTGGCCCCGTGTGCCCACGTTCTGAGGAGCAGGAAGCAGACAGGTGACTGAGGGAGCCTGGAGAGTGGAGCTGAGGCTGATGTTAGGGGACAGACACCTGATGGGACTGTGGCTCGAGAACAGGCAGAGTACTGGCCCCACGAGGCCCCGCGCCTACTTCCGGGCTCTGTGAGAGCTCCCTGTGATAGCAGCTGAATAACCCTTGCTGGCCTGGGGGAAGGACCCTAAAGCTAGGCCTGAGGGGACTGCGGAGGCAGGCTTTACCCTGGCTTCATCGTACAAGGCCAGGATCCCCATGTCCGTGCAGTTGTGCTGGAGGGGCCCCCAGGCCCCATCAGGTCCACAGAACCTCTTCACCATGCCCGCCTTGTTCCCAGGACAAGGGGCCTGTGCCGCGTGGCCAGCTTTAGTGACATTCCAGGCCACAGCCGAGAAGTCCTCAGGGCAGGCGTCGTCTCCATCTGAAGAGTGATAAGCAGAGCGGACTCAGCAGTCGCAGTCCCACCTGAGCCTTTGCCTGGGCCCCGCCTGCGCAGGCCCATGGTCTGGCCCAGATGGCAGAGGGTCATCGTGGAGAGGCTCCTGGCCCAAGAGCCAGCAGTGGGGGCCTGCTGGAGCCTGGGCCCCACGTACCCTGGATGACGGCGACGGCGACAGATCGCCTAAGAGGAGCCAGGCCCTGACTCTCCAGCACACAAGTGTATGTGGTGTCGGCCTCCGGGCAGCGCTGAACGTCCAGCAGCAGGCACTGAGAGCCTGTCCTGTTGAGTAAGGAGACTGAGGGGAGAGGAGAGACAGCTCAGAAGCCAGCAGGCCCCGAGTCTTTCAGAGCACGGGGCAGTGGGGAAGCAGCTGAGTGGTACGTGGGTACCAAACTGCTGAGTGCGACTTGGGTTTTGCTGACAAGCTCCCTGAAGGGGTCTCTAGTTCCGGGGCTCAGTTTCCTCCTTTGTAGAATGGGGGCCACCATCGAACTAACCCCATGAGGTTTACTGTGAGAGTTCAATGAAACTGTGTTATGTGAACCAAACTGCGATTGCTCTGACTGCGGAAACAGTGCTGACCCCCCGATTCCCAGCACCAGGACCTCAGCCTCCTGGAAGACACCAGCTGCCCCTCTCCTCTCTGATCCCAGTGTCTGGCCCCCTCCTACCGTGGCTGCCCTCCCTGGGGCTCCAGGCAGCAGTGTAGACCAGGTTTGTGCTGGGAAAGCAGCAGCTCAGCTGGAAGCTGGGGGAGGCGGTGCAGGAGATGGACAGCTCCTCCGGAAAAAGAGCCACTTCGGCCTTCTGCAAGGGCACCTTCACCACCTGCTGCAGCTTCCAGGCGAATCCCTGGGCCTCGAAGTAGATGAGGTACTCACCTGCGGAAACACACATGCCGCACCTACTGCTCCCAAGCCGTCGCCCAAGCCCGCTGATTGCTCCCCTCCCTGCTCACCACCAGAGCTGAGCCACAGCCAGAGGAGTCCCAGGGCGGCCCTCTGAAGACAAGGGACCCTCACTGGCTGCACAGCTCGGACCAGCAGGCCCAGAGCCTCCCAGTACTTCCGGAACATGAAGCAGTGGGGGATGCTATGCATGGTCGTTGAATTACTGAGGGAGGAATTGGTTTTTGCTGAAAAGCCCCCTGAGGGATCTCTAACTAGTGCCAGGACTCAGTCTCCACATTTTCAAAATGGGGGCCACCATTGATAACCACGCAGGGTTTATCGCATGAGTTAAAGGAGATTGTGCGGCCCTGGCTTCGAGAAGGACTTGTAGAAGGATGAAGAGGTCTGTAGAACAGGCTCCTGCCCTTCCCGCTTAGCCACTGGCCATAGCGAGTCTTCCTCCTTATAGTCACGCCCTTCCTATGTTACTACTGTTGTGTGGGATGTGCACAAATGCCTGTCTGTTCTCAGCTGAAAGACATTTTCAGCACACTCCATATTATGAATTAATTTCTCTCTCTATCTCTCCCTCTTCTCCCTCTCGGTGATCCTCCTGCCTCAGCCTCTTGAGTGCTGGGATTACAGGCGTGTGCCACCACACTCAGTTTTCTTTTGTTAACAGAGATGTTTGATGAAAAATAACTATATTTTCCAAAATGAAACATAATTAGAAGAATGACATTGTTTTGCATTTTTGCATGTCTTTTTAATGTCTGGCCAAAGGGAGGCCTCCTGCTTCTGCAGTCTCCGTGACGGTAGGCCACACTGGAAGATGCCAATGTATAACATAGGGGAAGTAAGAAAAGACAAGATGACGCTTTCCTATATTAGGACAATTGTAACTTTGTGGAGCCCGAAAGATCCCAGAAGTCCCCAGACAGCAAAAAGAACTGAGTGTTTTAAGGAAGTTTCCGCGCTGTAATGGGTCTCTTGGCCTTTGTTCTCCTGAAATAAATCAGTGGGGAGGCTAAGGAGGAGGTGGAAAGGAGGTGAGGTAGGAGAGAAGAAAAGGTGAAAGGAAGCAGAGAAAAGAGGAGGAGGAGCCGGAGGAGGGGGAGGGGGAGGGGGAAGAGAAGAGAAAGAGGGAAAGAGCAGAGGGCAGGAGAAAGAGCCGGTACCTGCCCAGTGCTGGGATGGGCGGCTGATGCTGAGGCTGGCCTGGCCCTGGTGAAAGCTCAGCGACACCTGCGGCCCCGACCGCAGGGGGATGAGTTTGCTGTTCTCTGTGCGTCTCAAGAACCATTTCGGGTTGGTGACGTTCTGGGTCGTGAGCAGAGCCAGGTTCAGCATGTTACCCGGCATCTGCAGCTGGGAGTTCAGGCTCAGGTTCCCAGGAACTGGGGGGCAGAAGACAGGGCTGGAGGGGGACTCAAGACCCTCTTGCCGCTAAGCAATCACTCCCTCCTGCCTTTTTTTAAAGAGTTTTTTGAGACAGATTCTTGCTATGTATCCCAGGCTGGCCTCAAATTCGCGGTGATCCTCCTGCCTCAGCTTCCCAAGTGCTGGGACTACAGGAGTGTGCCACCGCATCTGCACTTCCCTGTCTTCTGAAACCCCTTCCTCCCTGGCTCTAGCTTTTATCTTGCCCCTGGATGGGTATCCAAGTGAGGCTGCTGTGGTCCAGCCTGGAAGACCCTATCCTTGGGAAGATGACACCCTCCTGGCCTGGCTTCCCCTCTGCCAGGTAACTTGGTGATATTGGAGCTGCCTCGAGCAGGCTGGGGTCTCATTTTTCAGTCTCCCTGCTCAGGTCCCAAGTTCAGGGCCTGAAATCCTGTAGGACCCTTGGCTTTTCTGCCCATCCGGAGGAGCAGGGGGCTTGGGCTAGCTGCCAGAAGTACAGGTTCAGAGAACAAAATAGAAAGCTCCTCTTTCACTAGTTCTCAGCTTTCCTCACCAGGTGGCAGCGTCTGGCAGTAGCCCGGGATGGAATGGCTGAAGATCCGACAGTCACAGAGCTGACCACTGTGGCTGTGCGAGGGGCAGGGAGTGCTGCTGGAGCAGAGACGGGCGCTCCACTGGTACCCGGGGCGGCAGGCGCAGCGGCTGTGCCCCGTGTGGCTGACATTACAGTCTGTGACCGACACGGGAGGGAGAAGTGAGCAGGCTGTCTTGGGAGGGCCAGGGGCGGGGGTAGGGCTGGGCATCAGGACTCCCACCCCTCAGCACCGCCCTGCACTAGGGCTCCGAGTGCAGAGGCTGAGGTGGACACCAGGGTGGGGCGGGAGAGGCGGGACCCACCCTAGCTGCTCCTTGGACAACAGGGTGTGAACAGGAAGGGAGGGACCTGTCTGGTAGGGAGGGAAGGCAGGAGCTGGATGGGAAGCCAGAACCAGGCAGCCTCAGCCGCCAGGGAGGGGCTCCCAGCAGGCCCCTGCTCATTCGCTCTGAGCCCTCCCGGTGACTGTACCTGTGGTGATCACGAGCCCCGTGAGATTTCTTGGGCAGGAAGTGGCCGAGGCAGGAGGAAGCGCCAGGGCCCTGGAGTGTGCCAGGGGCCAGATCTTGTCTGAAAGTTCCAGTTCCACGAAGACAGAGACCAGGACTGATTCTACAGAGAGGGACAGCTGGAGAGGAGCGGCAGACAGGCCCCAAGCCTGTCCCCTTCGCCTCCTATACCCAGGTGGCCACTTCCTGTCTAGGAGCCCGTGGATGCGGGATGCCAATAACTCCTGTCCTAGCTGGGGTGCATGGCATCCTCCTAGTACCTGCACACCGCGTGGAGGAGCCCTCGGAGATGAACATGTTTCTTTCTCCATGGGACGCACCTGAGCTGGAGCCGTCCTCTCTGTTCTGAGCCCCCGCCAGGGGACCCCCTTCCGGTTCTCCCTTTGCACCTCCCTCCCTCCTCCCTCTTCCCCTTCACTTCCTCCTCCTGCCTGTCCATCACTCACCCCCTGCTCCACTCCTGTCCAACTGCTGCCCAGGTCCCGCTGCAGCCTGCCCCTGCCCCTGGAAGAGAGCAGAGGGTAGACCCCTAGGGAGAGGCCGGCCCCCAGTTCCTCCTGGGGTCACTTCAGGGACCAGCCTGGCTAGTCTGGCATGACTTGGTGTCCTGGAAGCTCTGCTGTTTGTGGGAAATCAAGAGTGCAGGTCAGAAGGGGACCGAAGGCTTTCAGGCGGAGCTGCAGGAGATGCAGCCCCAGGGACCTCAGCAGGGCCTGCAGGTCCCACCCAAGTCCGGAAGGGGCACACCCTGGGAGTCAACAAGCTTTGCTTAGCTCCTTCGTGAAAGTACCTGTCCCTGGGCCCCTGGGCTAATAGCAACGGCTGGGTCTGGAGCTCTAGCAGGGAGGGGCAGAGCTGGCTGGGGCACAGGGGTTTGACACAGGGGTGAGCCTTTCCTCTCAGCTCCTGGAATTTGTTTCTTCACCAGCACCCTCCCCTCTCCAAATTGCATTCACCAACCTGCATGGGATGCTCTTCTAGAACCGGGTTGATACACAGGCATGGATAAGACATGGACAGATTTAGAGATTGGTAAAGATACAGGTGTGTATGAAATCAGATGCAGATATGGGCTTAGACTCAGAGATCGATGCAGAGATAGAGATACTGATATCTTCACAGGAGAAGTGGATTAAAAAGTACTGATTTTGGCTCTGCTGAATTTCTTTAGATTCTCTCATTCTCTTTGCAAGTGACTCACAAATCTACTGAGTACCCCCCTCCTCTTTTTTTTTTTTTCCATTTTAAAATTGCTGGCACGATAGGAAGAGTCTTCATCTACAGTAAAGCAGGTGTGGCTGGAGCTCACAGGGACTCGGGCAGAGTAAAGCAAGCCATGCCTCACACCCCGACAGGCAGACAGGATGCTCTGAGCCATGCCGAGACCCTTACCAGGCTCAGAGCCTCTCCCTGGCGGGCCCCTTCCCTCCCCTGAGCTATCATCCCACCCCTCGCAAGGCCTCTGGAGACATCCCCGGTCCTCACCTCGGTCTTACTCACAGGCTGGGATGTGGGGGCAACTGTAGACCCCAGCAGGAGAGTCAGGGCCAGGAGCAGCCGGGGAGCAGCCGGACGGACCATGGCTCGGCAGAGCTGTCCTGAGTGGCCTGAAGAGCCCTCCCACTGCGCACGATGCAAATTTCTTTGCAGAGGAACTAGCAAGACAGTGCCCAGATGGCGTGGGTGGGAAGACGGGAGCTAGGGCCCGGACTCTGAGTCAAATGGGGATTCAGGAAAGCCATAGGTCTGGGCGCCCTCTGGGGTCTGGGCCCAGGACTCAGGGAGTGAGATAGGATGCAGGGGTCATAGGTTGCAGCGAGCGATGTGTCACTTTCATCAATCTTATAATTTCTTATTAAGCCAGGTTCGGTCCCGCTCCCAAAGATCTGGGGAAGACGGATTGTTCTGGAATCTAACCAGGAAGCTGGATCACTGGTCAAAGAACCGAAATTAGAGAAAGAAACGATGGCAACAACCCAACAATTAGGGCTGATTACTACTAAAATAATTTCCAGATGGTCTTTTTTTTTTCTCCTTAAAGGTAGCAAAGTTTGTTAAAGGCAGGAGTGCGTTTGGGCCAAGTAATCAAGTAATAGTAGGAAAAGAACACTCTACAGCATGAAGGAGGAGAAAACAGTGGCCTCCAGGTCGTCTTTGAAAGGGGTCTCGCATGCCCCCTTAGAGTGTCCTCTTCCCAATCAGGTCACTCACCACCCAGAGGTCCGACAGGAGATCTTTATTGTAGAGAGTCAGGCGGAGCACAAAGGCCGGGAGGCGGAGAGGAGAGAGAGAGAGAGAGAGAGAGAGAGAGAGAGAGGAGGAAGAAGAAGCAGAAGGAGCGAGCAAAAAGAAAGGAAGGTCCTTTTATCAGTTTTGGGGTGGGCTATTGCTTATTTATGAGGAGTGAGCTACTTTTCACCTATCACAGGCCAGGTTGCTTTTATGGGCCCAGTCCTGCAGACACAGGTTTCAACTTTCCTGGACCACTGCGGCCTTGGCAGGGAGGGAAACCAGAGATAAGGGCATGAGGTCATTTTAGGAGCCAAGAGGTACCAGGAGAATGCAGCCTGGTTTTGGGGTGGGCTATTGCTTATTTATGAGGAGTGAGCTACTTTTCACCTATCACAGGCCAGGTTGCTTTTATGGGCCCAGTCCTGCAGACACAGGTTTCAACTTTCCTGGACCACTGCGGCCTTGGCAGGGAGGGAAACCAGAGATAAGGGCATGAGGTCATTTTAGGAGCCAAGAGGTACCAGGAGAATGCAGCCTGTGAGGCGGCGTCACAGCATACTTTAACATGATCAATTCCCTAACAGTCTTTTAAAACTTGTACTTGACTGTAGCACATAATGATTACATTCATTATGGGGAGTTGGTACATGTACATAGCACATTTTAATTCTTTATTTTGTTCCCTCCTCTCCCTCCACCTCTTGGTCGTCTCATTTGCAAAACATATAGTTCCCCATTTCCTATTACCTAGTGTTTATTTTGCTCTTTTATTTATATTTTGGGCTTCTTATAGAAGAAAACCATGTTGGGGCCGGGGATTTGGCTCAGTGGTTCCACCGCCTGCCTTGCAAGTACAAGGTCCCGAGTTTGATCCCTGGTACCAAAGAAAAGAAAAGAAAAGAAAGAAAACCATGCATTGTTTAAAGTTGTGTGTCTGATTTGTTTTATTTAGCATAATCTCAAAGTACATCCGTTTCCCTGTAAAGGACTCAAATGAATCCTTCGTTATGGCGGAGTACTCCATTGTGTAAAATACCATTTTCTTTATCCATTCACGTGTTACGTACATATCTTCTGCTTCTAAGATTTAGCTGTTATGAGCTGTTCTGCTACAAACACAGGGTGTATATATCACTGTAATATGAGGTCTTTACTCTTTCAGGAAGACACCTAGGAGGGAAATAGCTAAATGAGATGGAATTTTGTTTTGTTGTTGTGTTTTTGTTTGTTTGTTTGTTTGTTTTTCTCGGTCCTGGGGATTGAATTTGAGACCTTGGGCTTGTGAGGCAGGCGCGGAACCACTGATCTAAATCCCCAGTGCTATTTTTGTTTTTTGAGTAATCTCCATGCTGATTCCATGGTGACTGCTCGTTTACATTTCCACCAACAGTGCAGAAGCACTCCTCCCCCACCCGAGATCAGGCTAGCACTTGTTATTATTTGATTTCTGGGTGATAACTACGCTTTCTGGAGTAATGTGGAATCCCAGGGCTCTTTTAATGTGCATTTCAGAGATGGTGACCATTTTTTCATGTATTTATTGGCCAACTATACTTCTTCTGAGATGAGTCTGTTCATTTTAGTTGCCTGTTTTTGATTTGGTCAGAGTGTTGTTGGTTCTCTCATGGTTTGAGTACTTTACATAGTCTGAATATTAACCCTTTGGATGAGCTGTAGCTGGCAAAAGTATTTTCCCGCTCTGTAAGTTATAGCTTCATTCTGTTGTTGCTTCCTTTGTTGTGTGGAAGCTTTTTAATTTGGTGTAATCCCATTTGTTCGTTTTTATTCATTAAGTTTATTGGCACATTTTAGGCACGCTTTGTGGTCACATTAATCATTGCATTGGGAATTTGTACCTGTACCCGATATATCTTGGTTCCTGTTATTTCCCATTCCCCTTCCTTCCCTGCCACCCCTCCCTATTACAAATGCTTTGTTTCCATTTTTTCCTTCTTTTCTCATATTTTTTCTTTCCTTTCCCCCACCCTCTGCGTACTTCTCCTTTCCCTTTGAAACTTTCCTTCTTATCTCACATTATCTATTACACATTTTGTTGCTCATTTACACTTTCAGTTTGTTGTGTTTTTTTGTTTGTTTGTTTGTTTTTTGAGACAGGGTCTCACTATGTAGTTGAGACTGACCTGGAATTATGTAGCCCAGGCTGGTCTCAAACTCACAGCGATCCTCCTGCCTCAGCCTCCCGAGTGGTTCTGGGATTATAGGCATGCGCCACCACGCCTGGCTTCAGATTGATTCTTGATGTTATGTCTTGTGCAGCTGGGGTTCTGTCCAGAAAGTCCTTGCCTGTATCTGTATCATCAAGAGTTTTTAATCAATTTGTGTTCCAGCAGATTAAAACAGATTTCTGTTTTAATATTCAGGTCTCTGATCCATTTTGGTTTTAGTTTAGTTCATTGTAAAAGATGTAGGTCTAGATTCAATCTTTTTCACGTGCACAGCTGGTTTTCCCAGCACTATTTGCTAAGAAGGCTGCCTTTCCTCTAGTGTTGTTTTTGGCCCCTTTTCAAGGATCAGATGGCTGAATGTACCTGGGCTGTTTCTGCATCCTCTGTTCTGTTCCACTGAGCCACATGTCTGTTTTTTCTCAGTACCATGCTGTTTTTATCACTGTAGCTTTGTAGTATAACTTGAAATTTGGGGTTGTAATGTCTCTTGCTTTGCCTTTATTGCCCAGGATTGTTGGACTGTTTAAAAGGTGGAGTCTCACTATGTAGCACATGCTGGCCTCAAACTTGAAGTGATCCTCCTGCCTCAGCCTCCTGAGTGCTGGTATTACAGGCGTGTGCTACCATGCCCAGGCTCAGCTTGGGATTGCTTTTACTATTCTGGGTCTCTTCTGGTTCCATATGAATTTTAAGATCATTTTATATAGTTCTATGAGGAATGCTGTTGGTATTTTGATTGTAATTGCATTAAATGCATATAACAGCTTTGGAAATATGGCCATTTTGACAATATTGGTTTTACCTATCAAGGAATAGGTGATATCTTTCCATTTTCTGATGCTCTCGTCAGTCTCCTTTTTGAGGCATTGTAGTTTTCATTGTACACATTTTTTACTTCCTCTGATTAGGTTAATTCCTAAGTATTTGATTTTTCTCAATGCATATTTTATTTTTCTGATTCAAGTTCTCTTTTAATTTCTTTCTCTTGCCTGATTGCTCTGGTTAAAGTTTTGAGTACTGTAATGATTAGGTGTGGTAATTGTGGTCATTCTTGTTTTGTTCCTGATTTTAGAGGAAAAGCTTTTGGTTTTTTTCTCATTTAATATGATGTGGGCAGTAAGTTTGTCATAAATGGCTTTTATCAGATGGAGATAAGGTGCTTTTATACTATGTATTTTTTCAGGGTTTTAAAAAAATCAGTGGATGTTGGATTTTGTCAAAGGCTATTTACGGATCTATTAAAATGATCGTGTAGATTTTAACCTTGTTTCTGTTGCTGTTTACATTGCATGTATTGATTTGCCTGTGTAGAACCATCATTGCATCCCTAAGATGAAACCTACTTGGTCAAGATGTAGGATATTTCTATTTTAATGGTACATTTTAGATATATATAATGATAAAATAATTATAGATTATACATGATATATCTTGCTTCTTTTTTCCTATTGTCTTCCCTTTACTTCAGTCCTTTTTCCCTTTCTTGCTTACAAAAGCTTTGTTTTCAGTTGCTCCTTATAACTTCTTTCATTTCTCCTTCCCCTCTCCCTTGTTCCCCTTTTCATTTGAACATTTTCTTCCTATTTCCCAATATCTTTTATAAATTTTGGTGTTTATTTATACTCTCGGTTTCTCACACGAGAGAAACATGTATGTCCGATTTATTTCAATTAAGAGTTTGGTCTCCAGAATGTATAATAGATACTGGGAAATGGGAATAAAATGTTGAAATGAGAAGAGGGACAAGGAAGGGGGGAGGAGGAAAGGAAAGAAGGGACAAGAAAAAAGATAAGAGAAGGAAAAAATGGAAACAAAAACTTTTAAATAAGCGGGGGAAGAGAGGTCAAAGGGAGGGGAAAGGAATGGAAAAAAGAAGAAAGACATGTCATGTACAGGTAAAAATTCCCTATGATGAATGTTATCATTATGAGGATCTAAAATGCAACAGTGTTTTGCTTTAAAGAAAAAAGGTTGGGGGGATTTGGCTCAGTGGTTCGTGGTTCCGTTGCCTGCCTCAGAAGTGCAAGGTCCCGAGTTTGATCCCTGGTACCAAAAGAGAAAAAAAAAAAAAAAAAAAAATAAAAAAAAAAAAAGAAAGCTAGACCAAATAAAGAATGTAGCAACTGAGTTTTAAAAAAAAACGGTATGGTCTCAAGTTGCATCCATTTAGCTAGAAATGTCTCAAGCTTATCCTTCTTTATGGCAGAGTAGTACTCCACTGTATTAAAAAATTGCATTGTCTTTATCCACTCATCCATTGATGGGCATTGGGCTGATTCCAAGATTTAGTGTTACAAACTGTGCCAGTGTAAACATGGGTGTACACTTATCGCTGTGGTAGGATGCTTTTAATTTTCTGGGAAGATACCAAGAAGGGGAATAGCGGTGTCAAATGGAACCTTTAGTTTTAGGTTTTTGGGGAATCTTCACACTAATTTCCACAGTGACTGCACCAGTCTATACTCCCACCAACAGTGGAGAAGGGTTCCTTTTCCCCAACAGCCCCACCAGCATTTGTTATTGGCTGATTTATTGATGATAGACATTCTTTCTGGAGTGAGATGAAATCTCAGTGTTGTTTTAATTTTAATCTCTTGAATTACTAGTGATGCTGAACATTTAAAAATATATTTATTTGCTGTTTCTGCTTCTTCATCTGAGAAGGGTCTATTCATTTCAGACGCCTGTTTTTGGATTGGATCTTTAAATAAGAGGTGTCTGGATTTTTTGAGTTTTTGTTTTAGTTTTTTGAGACAGGGTCTCACTATGTAGTTGAGACTGACTGGAACTCACGATGTAGCCCAGGCTGGTTTCTAACTCACAGTGTTCCTCCTGCCT